AAATATCATAAATTTTTTATATATAATTATTTTATATTTCGAACAATAATGATTCGAAGACGAACGAACGCATCACTGCTCATGTTTGGTTGGTTTAACTAACCGAACAAAAAAAATTTGTTCACGTTCGTCTTGTTTACTTATCGAACGAATTGAACACGAACTCATTGACGAACCTAACACGAATTGTTCGCGAACAACGAGCTTTTTTGACAGCCCTAATCATGAGAAACAGAAGCACAAATGAAGAGAAGCTCATTACAACATTACAGTAATGGTGAACTATAACTTAACTGCAAATATTTATTTATATTGTTCAGTTTTACAAAAACAAAACTTTACACAAATACACAATCACTAGATATAAACCATAAACAACCTCCACAACAAAACAAAATGTTCAATGCATTCAGAAAATGTTATAAAAAAATTTAAGAAAAAAAACAGAGCACTTTTATTTTACTAGAACAAGAAGAGGACTTCCACCACAAGAAGTTTTAGAAACCTCATTCTGATCAATCATTCTGTTGTCCCCAGAGCAAAATAGTCTAATTTTGATCATTCCGACGAGGCATTTTGATCGCCTTTCACACGCTTGCCGTGTGGAGATTCGGAGCCAAGAAAGGCGGCAGGATCCGGCGGCTTTTGTTTGCCGCCGACGAGTCTTGGCTTTTCGCTTTCCTGTTCATCCAAAGCTTTCTCAGAGGCATTATTTCGAGTGGGCGAGACTGTTGTCGTGGATGAAGATTGTGTTGCTTGTTCTTCAGGAGCAGATGGTGGCCTGAACCTATCCATTCCAGCTTTGCATTGTTGCTCAAACATCATCTGAAGATACCTTCCCTGTTCTTCAATTCGTAGCTGTAAGTTCCTCTGAACCTGTAAGGCATAAAGATTTAGATAATGTTGAAGATGTGAATATAAACTAATTAGTATGCTCAGTGAATAGTTATTATGCTTTATGATTGATAAATGAGCAAGTTTGAATAAATTTTATAAGCTAGATATATAAATGAATGAGTTTTACACTCGACAAAATGCAAAATAAGTATATTTGCGAAAGGGTTGGTGTAGCTCCAGTGGCAAACAAGATCTGAGAGAATCGTATTAGATGGTTTGTTTAGATTAAACGTTGACCATCTAATGATCCACTTAGGAGAGTAGAAGTTTTAGATTCGACTTATGTTAAGAAAGGTAGATATATACCTAAAAAGATCTGGGAATATTGTCTAAAAAAGTAGCTTAATTTATTAGAAATAAATGAAAATGAAAATATAATAGGACACGATGGAGAAAAAGGATTCCTGTAGCCGAGCTCACTTAGTGGGATATGGCTTGTTGTTGTTGTTGAGTTTGAATATTGATCCACTCATTCTTAATGCTTGTGAAAATATTTGTTTAAAGGCCCAATGAAATGCTTAGTTTTGTTTATTTGATAGCAATGTTGTATTCTATGTTTTTGAATGAGTTTTGTTGTAACATATGCACTTTAAAAATTTAGCAAATATTAGTGGAGTCCGAACACGAAAAAAATATTGAGGGTTACAAATCTAATTTTCAACTTCTAAAAAAATTTGATCGTCACAAGGCATTGGTTATAACCTATATTTAAAAAGGCGTTATTGGGTCGCGCCCTGGGGCTAGGCGTAAGCCATTTCGACCCAATTTCACGAGGGGGGCACAAATCTCACGGGGGGAACATTATCTAAGCCCCGAGTGCAAGTCGCACGTCACGGGAGCGTACGCCTCATTTGCTAATCGAATAAAAAGAAAAAAAATCCCAAAATTTTCAAACTTGCACAATTCAATCGTCTTCCGCACGCAGAAGATCTTCCAAAACCCTCTTCATCTGCACACAAGTAATCCCACACACAGACGTTCTCCCGCAGACAACGAGGATTACATTCACACGCAGACGATCTTCCTACGCCGCCACCTACTTTGTTCTGGCACGCAAGTGACCCTGCGTGCGTGCGGGACACGCGATCCTAGCATATTCTCCGGCAAGAAGAATAACTGAACGCGACATCTAATTCTCTCCACACACCCACAACTACTCTTTCGCAACACATGACTTGGCAAGAAATTAGAAATGCAATATTTATCGTCTTACAAGTTATTAACGGATTTTCACTGTAGCTACAGTAATTGCACTATAGTTACAATAAACCGCAATTTTTTTTTTTTTGTTAGAGATCACACAAATGCACAATAACTCATAAAATTTTTTTGTAGTGAATTTTTACTAATATCTTGAAGATTCTAATCCTACAATACTTGTTTTGAAATTCAAGTACAAGTTCTTTTAATGTTTCTTAATAATTTTTTTTAAGCACAAATAGTTTATTTTTTTTATCTCTTAATATTTATATTCGTTATTTTTTTTATAATGTGAGGCTTATACCTTGCCCGTAACAACTAAAACGCTCTGCCCAACGTCCACGTCTTTTAAAACATTAGTTAGAGCAGTAAATGAATTATGTCAATTTTTGACCAAAAAGTGCATTCATGTTGAGTAATTAGGCTATGTCTTTATAATTTAAATTATTAACTTATATATAGTTATAGTTAGATAGATTTAATTAAAACATGATAAAAAATACAGCTAAAATAATTTAATAAGCATTCATTAATCTAGTTCTAAAATTCAATCATGTTCAAGCTTGGCTCAAACGTTATAAAAATATAAATAAATGAATTTAATGGGTGAAAGAAACAAGGTCACTCAAAATGATATTCAGATGATATTGCAGCTTCAATGACACGATAAATACCAATACAAGTGAAAACATTAAGGAGAAGAATACAACAACAACAACAAAGCCTTAATCCCACTAAGAGGGGTCGGCTACATGAATCCTTTTTCTTCATTATGTCCTATTTAGTGTCATATTTTTATTTAGTTCTAATAAATTAAGATAATTTTTTATACAATAAGCCCAAGTCTTCCTAGGTCTACCTCTGCCTTTCTTAACAAAAGTCGAATCTAAAACATCTACTCCAGATGATCGACGCTTATTGTGACCAAACCATCTAAGACGACTTTCTCTAATTTTGTCCATCATAGGAGCTACACCAACCCTATCACGGATATATTCATTTCGCATTTTGTCTCTAAATCTAAAGCCACTCATTCATCTGATCATTCTCATCTCGGCAACACTTAACTTATTATTATGCTTCTCTTTTAAAGGCCAAACATTCAGCGCTATTGAGCATTGTAGATCTCACCACCGTCTTATACGTCTTATAAAATTTTCCTTTTTCCTTTTAGTCTAAGCGGTAATTTTCTATCACACAAAAGGCCCGAAGCATTCCTCCACTTCAACCAACCAACTTGAATTCTAGTATTAACATCCCCATCTACATCACCGTCGCTTTGAACAACATACCCGAGATATCTAAATCGTTCGCACCTTTTAATAATTTGATAATGAAGGGGTGCAACACGAGAACTTCTCAGGACGTCACACATCCTAGTACTACTCTCGCCCAAGCACGCTTAACTGCGGAGTTCTGATGGGATCCGGTGCACTGATGCTGGTATGGTCGCACCCTAAAATGGAAGAGTGCAACACGAGGACTTCCCAGGAGGTCACCCATCCTACCCATCCTAGTACTACTCTCATACTCTCACCCAAGCACGCTTAACTGCGGAGTTCTGATGGGATCCGATGCATCGGTGTTGCTATGGTTGCACTCTTTTTAATGGAGGGGTGCAACATTAAGGAAAAGAATTAAGAGAAGAAATTCAATAAATTCTAAAATAGAATAGCAATATAAGACAAGTAAATAAATCAAAAACAAAAAAATATGACTTTTAAGTAAGATGGATTTACATACAAATCATACCATTTCATATGTATTTACATATTTGATAGCTAACCTTTGATATTCATACATTATTTTAGCATCATAATCAATTCAAAACAAATACATGAAAAAGGTGAGTTTCACTTTACAAAAATTAACATTAATGCTATTTTTGTGTGATGTTAAAGATTTGGGTGCCGTAGAAGTAAATTTTATAGTTTAAGTATTAGATATGTAAATACAAAAGAAATGCATCATGGAATGCGTGTAAGTGGGACATAAATACCAAAACAACGCTTAAATTTACACAACATATCTAGAAGCATACCTCTAGTTGTTCATGAAGCCGTTTCTGAACCTCTATCTGCAACCGCAGTGCTTCAGTAAGCTCCATTCCCCTGTAAGATGAAAGGAAAGAAAGGCAACATCAAAATTTTATTTTTATGGCAATCTACAGCTTAATTAGCAAAAATATTGGGCCGAAATAGGCAAGTACGGGTATTCAATGAATTTTGCTTGGGAATTCAAAATGAAAATTACAATGCTATTTAATATAAATTAGACGTATAAATTTTATTTTAAATCAACTGCGCATTTTAACTGCCAAAATAAAATATGTAAGAAAATATTTTACATAAAATATGTATTCTATGCTTATGAAGTTTGAAATATGTTTTGCACGAGCAGAAAGATGCAGAAAAAGGGAATAATTCTGAAAAAAATGGTATGAACATGTTTTATATGAGCATAAAACACATTAAATTCATATCAGCAAGAAGGCCAAATCTAATATTAAGCTAATGTAGAAGTATAATAGGTACTAAAATTGGAAATAAATAAGAGAAACCCACACAATAAATGAAAAGAGCAAAACTAAAAACTAGAATCCAATCAATCTTTCATGAACTAGAATCAAATAATACTATAGCACTAAGTGCTAGGCCGAAATTTATCTATACACAATAACAACAACAACAAAGCCTTAATCCCACTACGTGGGGTCGGCTACATGAATCCTTTTTCTCCATTGTGTCCTATTTAGTGTTATATTTTCATGTAGTTCTAGTAAATTAAGAGCATTTTTAATACAATAAGCCCAAGTCCTCCTAGGTCAACCTCTGCCTTTCTTAACACAAGTCGAATCTAAAACATCTACTCTCCTAATCGGATTATCAGATGGTCGACGTTTAATGTGACCAAACCATCTAAGATGACTTTCTCTAATTTTGTCCGTCACAGGAGCTACACCAACCCTATCAC